AACATTAATTCACCTTATGTAAAGGAACATGGTAAAATGCTGAAGCCACCCCTCCAGCAGCGCCCCCCCCCTCCCACCTGTCGAGCAACCTCCCCACTGCCCTCGCAAACAGATCCTAACGAAGCATAAACAGAATGCACCCCAAATGGGACAGGACTCCTCACAGTGTCTCTGAAAGGAAACCAAAAGGCTGTATGAGCTCTATAACAGGAAGATCACTGCAGCCAAACAATAACCGCAGTTACACTGCAGCCAGTGATGCGGGCAGAATTTGCAGATCTCAGGCTTCTCTGGGAGGCTCTTTTAAAGAGATTTAATATAATTTTATATCTCTGTAGAGTGATGAGGTAATCAGGGTGTCTCTCTTTGCCCCCCAGGTCGTCCCACGCTGCTTAACATGCTCTTCCTGGCTCTTTACTCCCAATTCTTTGCCTTGATGCGAAACACATTCATATTGGGTGAGTTTCCCTGCTGTCTTCATTCTCCTTATCAGGCTGTGTGTCTGTGAATGGAGGCAGGTTTGCTCTGACACCTTTAAATACGGTGAGTAACTTCGGTATGTTGTGGCGCGGTGCTCAGTGGGCACAGCAGTAGCCTCACAGCTGCAGCGACGAGGGTTCGATTCCTGGTGTGTGGGACTGATCCCTGGTCCAAACCCAGTTTAGTTTGAATCTGACTGATGTTTGGATCCAGGACCGCAGGGGGATGGATGGATATAAACACTGTATTCACAGAGGGATGGATGGATATAAACACTATTCACAGAGGGATGGATGATATAAACACTATTCATAGAGGGAGGGATGGATAGAAACACTGTATTCACAGTGGGATGGATGGATGGATATAAACACTGTATTCACAGTGGGACAGCAGCTTTGTGACACAGTTTCTTTTATTGTCACTTGTCTGTGTCGTTGTAAGGGTGGAGGGTCATGTGACTGGGATCGTGTGAATTGTACTTTTGCTAAGAGAGCAGAAGAAAAGACCACCATTGTCTAAATGAGGAAAACATGTTACTTCTGAAATGTGAACTTGTGTTTTTAAATGTTATATTCATATTAACCATAGGATGTGGATAATCGCACTCGGCAGGTAATGTGATCTTTCCCTTTTCAGGATATTCCCTTTCAGTCCCAGTGGCTGCTTTGGGATTCTGTGCCTGCATATTTATTGGGGATTTTTTGCAGACTCTTGATAGGTCATTGGAGCGGTTTTACTGTAAGTATGAAATTTTACACTAAACCATAATGCATAATTAAAATAAGTCACCCTTTAAAATGAGTTTTCAGAGTGCAGTTAAAATCCATGCAGTTCTCAGAACATGCTGCTGCCCTCTATGCAGTCTAAAGTTGCAGTGTTTTGTGTTATATGATGCTAACTGTGATATTTATAACTTAAGCATCTAAAAGTACTTCTCTGTAGCAGTAGTGGCACCAGTGATTTAATGTTGCAGGTGCTATGGGGGGGGCAGATTGTTTAGAGCAGGTGCCAGAAATAAAGATTTTAGGGGGGGGGGGTCCCCTCAGGTGATTTCACCAACCAGGAGACCAGAATCGGCAGTTACCAACACACTGCAGGGTGCAGACACACACAACTACAGGGCCAATTTAGACTCACCAATCAACCTGTACACTTTTGGACTTTGGGTGGAAACCGGAAACAGGGAGAGCATGCGAACTCCACACTGAAAGGACCTGGGACCAAACCCAGGACCTTCTTGCTGTGAGGCAGCAGCACTAACCACTGTGCCACCATGCCGCCCCCACAATGTAGCATAACAAAATACTAGATATCTTCTATCAGACACAGCGACTGTCACGCATAGGCAGGAAGTCCGACCCAAAATGCAGGCTCACAGGGAACTTTATTTAGCACGTAATCAGAGGTGAGGAGCACAGACAATGTCAGGACTAGCAAACACAAAACTGGGGAGAAAAATACACTGACGAATGAGGGGCAAACAGGATACAGGTGGGAGTAATAGGCATGAGGGCAGGAACGAGAGGTCAGTCAAAGGAGCAGCAGGCATGTGGAGGAAAAGGGAGGATCAGGCAGACGGAGCGGGCCGGGCGTGGGGAGGAAATGGGAGGATCAGGCAGACGGAGCGGGCTGGGCGCAGGGAGGAAAGGGGAGGATCAGGCAGACGAGAGGATCAGGATCAGGCAGAAGGAGCTGGCTGGGCATGGGAAGGAAATGGGAGGATCAGGCAGATGGCACGGCAAGTGTGGGGAGGAAACGGGAGAATCAGGCAGACGGAGCGGGCTGGGCAGGGGGAGGAAACGGGAGGATCAGGCAGACGGAGCGGGCCGGGCGTGGGGAGGAAACAGGAGGATCAGGCAGATGGCATGGCAAGTGTGGGGAGGAAACGGGAGGATCAGGCAGACGGAGCGGGCTGGGCACGGGGAGGAAACGGGAGGATCAGGCAGACGGAGCGGGCTGGGCACGGGGAGGAAACGGGAGGATCAGGCAGACGGAGCGGGCCGGGCGTGGGGAGGAAACGGGAGGATCAGGCAGACGGAGCGGGCTGGGCGTGGGGAGGAAACGGGAGGATCAGGCAGACGGAGCGGGCTGGGCGTGACATCCCCATGTGCTTTTTGGACAGCACAAGTATTTTACAGATATAAAAACAGAAAACGTCAACCCCAAAGCCTAATATATCACTTCATTTTTTTCTCTCTGCACGACAGTTAAAACAACATACATCTGATTAAAAAAATTAAATGTACTGTAAGTTATGAGTATGTTATGTACTGTATGTTATGAGTCTTTGTCATGTCTATTTAATCTGTTTGTTTTTAATTTTTTATGCTTTTCAGATCTGGCTCAGAAAATCCTTTTGGGGATTTTCTTCATACTTCACCTAATATTAAGTTTCCTGTATTTAACTCTCATTCTAGAAAGTGACAAAGGTAAGGAGACCATGAGACTTAAGAGAACTTTAACTGTGAGGAGACCATCTGACCGTAAGAGAGCTTTAACTGTGAGGAGATCATCTGACTGTAAGAGAGCTTTAACTGTGAGGAGACCATCTGACTATAACAGAGTTTTAACTGTGATTAGACCATCTGACTGTAAGAGAGCTTTAACAGTCTTTAACTGAGCTTTAATGTTTTTGGTAAGTGGTGTTTGTAAAATCTTTGTGATGCAACTAACACAGTTTCTGATAAGAATCCTTATTGAATTGCACACTCGTGAAAATAGTCACACTGCATCTATTGGGCTGTTTACACCCGGCCTCCCCCCTCCCCATCCCCTGGCTCCACAACAATCGTAAACACGGTGTCGCTTCCACGGTTCCACGTCACTTCAATGGCTGACGGTGCCAAAGTGGGTCACAAATATAAACGATATGGTGCATTAAACACATAATGTACCCTTCTTCTAGCAATAGTCAGCTAGCTGAAGGCACACGGTAATCTTGCTAACTAACATTAGCACTGGCTACAGGACTTGAAATTAATTTCTCACAATGAGGGACAATCCACCTCATATGTGAATCACATGGGGAATAATTTTAGATTTTCAGGTGGTTCATTAAAGAAACTGCCTGAATTCAGTAGCATTAGCCATGGCATCTTTAGGGGAATCTCTTTCCCTCTTTCTCTTGACAAACGTTTTGTAACATTTTGGCTGTCCACCCCGCCTGTGAATACCAGTGTTAACTACTGATACTTGGGCACAGATACCATCTGCCTGCTATCCCACCTGCCAGTGGATCAGGGACTTCCTGACTAACCGCTGTCAGATGGTTAGATTAGGCCCCTAAACCTCCTCCACACTTGCACTCAGCATCAGGACCTCACAGGGCTGCGTGCTGAGTCCTCTTCTCTATACCCTCTACACCCATGATTGCACCTTCATTACCAACAACATCATTAAGTTTGCAGATGACACAACCGTGGTAGGATTCATCTGAAGGGGAGACAAGACAAACTTTGAGTGTGGTGCTCAGAACAACCTCACCCTGAACACTTCCAAAACAAAAGAACTCTTAATAGACTTCCGGAAACAGTGACAGACAGGAGAGCCCTTCTGAGGGTTATCGAGAGCGTGCTGGCGTACTGCATTACCGCGTATTACACCGGCAGCTCAGCGGCAGACAGGAGAACCCTTCAGAGGGTCATCGAGAGCGTGCTGGCGTACTGCATTACCGCGTGGTACACCGGCAGCTCAGCGGGGGACAGGAGAGCCCCTCAGAGGGTCATCGAGAGCGTGCTGGCGTACTGCATTACCGCGTGGTACACCGGCAGCTCAGCGGGGGACAGGAGAGCCCCTCAGAGGGTCATCGAGAGCGTGCTTGCGTACTGCATTACCGCGTGGTACACCGGCAGCTCAGCGGGGGACAGGAGAGCCCCTCAGAGGGTCATCGAGAGCGTGCTGGCGTACTGCATTACCGCGTGGTACACCGGCAGCTCAGCGGGGGACAGGAGAGCCCCTCAGAGGGTCATCGAGAGCGTGCTTGCGTA